GGCCACTTGTTTGGCAAAGCCATCAAAACTCTTATAGTCCGTACCGTCCAGTTGTAGGACATGTAGGTTTGAGTGTCGGTCCCGGAGCTCATCCAACGCTGGATTAGTGGTCTGTCGTGTAGTGGCGATCACGTGTTTGGGTCCGCCGTTGGGTTTAGTTAACAATGCGGTCACTAATCCGAGACCAATGCCACGATTGGCGCCCGTTATTAAAACTGTTTCAATACTTGACATTTTAACTAAAGCTTTAAAACTATTATATTAAGCAATTTAACAACTTACTAATTGTATTATGAGTTGTTCAAACAAATTCACATGTATTTATACTCTGTGATAGTAATTGAACTATAACATTTTTAATCAATATTTTATATTTAAATACACTTAATGTGTACTAACGATAAAGAATATAGAAATTCGTTAAATAGTAGTACACATTAGTGCATGTAAATGACATTTCAATATAACTTATCACAATTCTTATAACAGGTTTATTATGTTCAAACAATCTTGACTTATTTTTCCATACAATGTAAATTTATATAGAGATTCAATAATATTGCATATTAATAATTGTTTTATACATTATTATTTTTATATAAGAATTTTTGTACCTCTACTCACACTAGTAAACTGTCCTTGATGCTCTTTTTTATTATATTTATTTTGAAATTAAAGCGCGGAATATTTGAAAGAATTTACATAATTATTTTGCATTAGTATACTGCAAATCAATATCAAATTAATGTATACTTATTATAATTAAATTATATCATATATTTTTTTATTTAATAAATGCTAAACCTAATATAGCAGGAACTAATCACATTAATTTATATTTATAATTTGCATGTTATTTATTATTCAAATATTCAAAGTAAAGATATTTTAGGAATTTATTATTTTTTAAAATTATTATTGTTTAATCTGCTGAGTATTTAAATGCACTAAAATTGTTTTGAAGTTAATTGTTAAACTTTATATAAAAAATGTAACATATTTATATTTCATTTAATAAAATTAAATATAAAAATTTTAAAACTTTAAATAATATTTTTATTAGTTAATTTTATTATATTTTTGTACAAGGATAATTTAGTTATTTTGTTATTCAAGTAATATAACAATGACAACAATAAGTTATATTGCAATAATTATAATTCGTTATTTAATTTAAAAACATTTAATGGTCTTACATCGTTTTACTTTCATTATATTAACTATGTTTAATAACAAATTTATTGTAGTAAAATTTACCAATTTAATATTCTAATTTAATTTAGTTAAAAAATTTTAATGTTTCAAAAATTAAATATTTCATACAACAAACAAACTAATATTTGTTTATATTGTGTTGAAGTAAATGTTATAGATATTAAAAATATAATGATAAAAAATTCAAAAGTTAGTAAGGGTGCACAGTGCCATCATAGCCAATTAACCTTCCAGAATTATCATCTGTTAGATTATTTATCACGTTTAGTATACCATCAGCACTAGTCTCCACAGTTAAAGCACCGGTGGGACCGCCCATATCGGTCTTTACGTGGCCCGGGTGTACGGCCACAGCATTAATACCATATGCGGCCAAATCAACGGACAAGCATTTTGTGATCATATCAAGCGCGGCTTTACTTGTAAAATATGGGTAAACCATACCGAGCGTATCTTTGGCCATGTGTATGTTTGTAATACAGCCACCTAGGGATGAAATGTTGGCCACAGTTGTTTTGCGCTTAGTTGCTCCCGATTTCTATATATAGTTAATAGTTTTATGTTAATTCATTATTAATTTATTTTATTCATTAGTATATTGTTTTGTAATTATATTAATTTTACTAAATATCTAAACTTAGTTTTCATATTATTATTTAAATTTTAATTCATTAAAGTTTTATATTAATTTTAAACCAAATCCATGTAATTTTAACTACAGTATATACATAATAAATAATTTGATCTAGATTTTTATAACATACCTTAAGTACTGGTAATAAGGCTTTGGTGAGCATTAGAGGCGCCACTGAATTAACTTTAAAACTTGTCACCATATCATCGGCGGTCACGGCATCCAGTTTTGACGCAATAGCAATGCCTGCGTTATTGATGAGTGTATCCAAACCCCTGTCGCCCACAATATCGGCCACTTGTTTGGCAAAGCCATCAAAACTCTTATAGTCCGTACCGTCCAGTTGTAGGACATGTAGGTTTGAGTGTCGGTCCCGGAGCTTATCCA